CTTTGGGTTGTCAATAATAGTAACAGATGTCTTGAGTTCAATTGCTTTCTCTCTCTGCTTCCTTCTTATGCGGTTGCCATCGCTTCGGTCCTAAACAAGTGGCAGGATAGATCCTCGTCCGTTTAGTGGGTTTCTCCTACCCGCTGGGGGATTTGCCTTATCACCCCAGCGGCTTCAGAGTTTCCCCCTTATTCTGCTGGTCCCTTCAGGATCCACAGCGCTCAGAAATGAGCCCAAACGAAGAAGTTAGAGTTAGAGGTTAGAGAGCTCCCGTTCCTCAGCTCCAAGCATGATGATGTCACCACAGACGTCCCCGGACATTCGAACTTTTAATTGCCCTTCACACACAAACACACACACACACACACACAAATAGGTTCTACTGCAGGGATATCAAACTTTAATTTCATTTAGGGCCGCATCAAAGTTGTGTTTGACCTTTGGGAGCAGGGGTGGGCATGGCCAGGGTGGGTGTGGCCAGCTCGACATCACTCCTCTCATTCACCTCCAGCAAAGTCCCAGCAAAGACTCTTTCAAGGGTGAATTTACAACTATAGATCTTATCAAATGCCGTTTTCGCTAGCACAGGCACTGCTGGCCAGTCCTTCACTATTTCCAGAATGATCCGATGGGCCAGATCTAAGCACTCCACGGGTCGGATCCGGCCCCTGGGCCTTGAGTTTGACACCCTGTTCTACCGCATCCTGGCTAGACTCACTGGCCTTACCCCCAGCTCTTGGGCGACCACTTCCCAATGCAGACCGCCGTGCCGGACAGCGATTTCCTTCAGTTTCTCGATCTCCTCCTCGCTCCATTCCTTCTTGTTGATGTTGGGATGCTCACAATTTTGCCAGTATTTCCTCAGCTCTTTTGCGTTGCGTGTTCCTTCAAACTAGAGAGGAGGCAAGATGGAATAAATGGTCACAACTTCAGTGTTGTTGTTTTTTTAATTAAAAAAAAAAGACACACAGGGGAAATCTCATTTCCAGGCAAATTTCCCTCCACTGTTCCTGCAGAAGATTTTGGAGGCACTAGGCAGAGGGACTGGGTGGACTCACATTGATGTTGGCGATCTTGTCCCAGTCGTGCTCATCATGTCTGTTTCCCAGCAAAGCTTCTTCTGGCAACATGCTACATCCAGAGGAAATACAGCCACACTTAGAAAAATATTTGTGCTGTTCTCTAGGCAGATGTTCTAACTTTAGGCTTCACCAAATCATGAAGTAGACCCAACAAAACCCTTTTATTCAGCCAATGTGAATTCCTCTCATTCATATCCAGCAAAGTCCCAGCAAAGTGTCTTTCAAGAGTGAATTTACAACCACAGACCTTATCAGGCTTGGAGAGCTGCAAGGCTGATGTTTTCCAAACACAACGCTGTACTTAGCAAGGAGTCTTGGAAAGTCACAAACCAATTAAGCGAACTGTCGCCTGCAAATAACCTTCCCCTCTTTATTCCCTATGGGAGGGGCCATTCACCCTCCACCTGTACCTTTACTCCTGAATCGGCCCTTGTTCCTTAGCTGTTCCCTTCTCCTGGCAGCTCTGCGCATGCGCACATCGGGAACATGCTCCAGCTGTTCTTCAGCCCCATGGATCTCCAACTTCGAAGGCAGCTGATAACTGTCGGATGGTCCTGCCCCCCTCTCTGCCTCCCACACAGACCCCTCATCAGAGCCTTCCCCAGACTCCAGGACTGGCCCAGATTCCTCCCCAACTTCCTCACTGTCTGAGTCTGCCACCAATTCCACTGGTGGGCCACAACAGCAGATGCGTAGGAGAAGAGAGAGTTTGCAGTCATCTCCCTTCCTGGGTTTAAACGTTGCTGCACCATTTTCAGCTCAGTTTTGCTTGTTAACATACAGACAGTCCATGACTTAGAGGAGCTTAGCTACGTTAAAGTTACAACAGACCTACAGTGTTTCCCTGAAAATAAGACAGGGTGTTATTTTCTTTTGACCCCCACCCCCCGAAATAAGAGCTTGGCCTTATTTTCAGGGAGGTCTTATTATTTTTGAGGTGCAGGAGGGGGCGAGTGTGGTCACCTCAAGGCTGCTGCTGTGTTGCAATATTTTGGGGGAGGGCTCATTTTAGCGCATGCACTCAAAAGCCCGGTTGGGCTGATTACCTGGGGAGGTCTTATTTTTGGGGAAACAGGCCACCTTGGCTTGTGACCTGGATTCAAATTTCTGACACAAGCTCGGTCACATGAGCGAACTTCGGTCCCCTGCAACACAGCCACAATCACAGCCATTTGCAGTGTCCTGTGGTCACACAGCTGTGTTTTACAACACTGAAGCCTGAAGTTACTTCTGTTCTTGGCAAAACCATGCCCATGGTGAACTACTAAACTGACTGCCCAGAGATTTTTGGCATGTACCCAAAGGAACCAGAGCAGCTTCAAATTCAGAGTATCCCACAATTTATAAGTTGCTCCTATAATCCTAGCCCTAACTTCTTAACACTGCCAAGATGGTCCTCAATCAAAGACCAGGCATCAGGGACTGAAAAACCTGCTTCTGGACAGTTTTACGCCAGGTAGGGATCCATTCAGTATACCAGTTTTCTTCAGCAACTTTAAGGAACTATCACCCAATCCTAGCCCTGCATATTGTGTAAGACCCTTATAAAAATTAGAGTTTTTCTTAGAATAGAGCAGCAGTCACCCGTGGTCCGCGAGCAAATTTTAGTGGTCCGCAGAAAAATTATTTGCATTTTTTATATTGCACTCAATCAGGGGTCCTCAAACTATGGCCCCTTGGTCAGATATGTGCAATGAACGCTTGTGCTGCTGCAGAGAGTCTCCCCCTTCAGGATCTTTTTCTGCGGGTTGGAGGGGGCAGAAATTGTGACTTGGGCTCTGCTTTGGCCTCCTGGCGGGGGGCTTTGGCCGAAGACTGGTGGGAAGCGCCGTTGGTGGCAAAGAGCCGGAGGGCCTTGTTCTAATGGGACTGCATCATAGTCTGGAACTGGCTGACCATTTCAGTCCGTTGAGCCACCAGCCTCCAGGAGCCGGTCCCTGGCCTTGCACTCCTGTAGGTTTCCCCTCTGCTTGGAAAGCCTATGCTCCTAGTCCTCAGTGAAGTGCTTCTGCTGAGCATCCTTCTCAGTCAGATCCAATTTGAACCAACTCTTTCTCCTGGTGGCTGCTCAGCTCCAGCAACTGCTTCCTATTGGGGCCCTAAGGAGCCAGGGTGGGTGAGGAGTGGATGGGAGGGGAGGGGTGAGTAGATGGTGGTGAGTGACCCTCGACGTGAGTGACATTAAGTTGGCCACACCCACCCAGTTACATGACCACCTAACCATGCCCAGCCAGACAGTCATTAAGCAGATCATATTAGCGGTCCAAGAGATTTAAAATTATGAATTTAGTAGGCCCTGAGATCCAAAAGGTTGGAGACCCCTAGAATAAGAGCATCTTTCTCAACTTTGGGCAACTTTAAGGTCTGTAGATTTCAACTCCAGAATTTCTCCCAAGCATGCTGGCTGGTGGAATTCTGGGAGCTGAAGTCCATACATTTTGAAGTTGCCACGGTTGAGAAAGACTGGAATATGGAATACGTGGTAGAGAGCCACATGGGCTCTTGGGAGATTTAATTAAATCATTTTAGTCGGATGCAATGACCAAGGCAGAAGTCAACTCCTTCCCTCTTTCTCTCCTGCTCCCTTTTGCCAGATCATTCTTGTTGGAAGGTGGATCTAATTCCTTTAGGAAAGCTTCCCAAACTACGCTCTGGCTCACATCCATTTCAGGGACACGAGCAGTCACCAGAAGAAGATCTTTGTCATTTTGGTGTTCAAGTGGTGAATCTTACTTGATTTCATTTATTTCACGTTCCGTTTCCTGGATCTGCTTCGCCAAGATCTGCTTCTCCATCTCATCCTTGGATTTCTCCCGTTTTTCATTCAGATAATCCACCCTGTTGAAAAAAATTAGAAGAGATCTACGCAAAAAACAGAGATGGGAACAACCCCCTGCAACAAGCTGGATGATATGAGCAGTCTTGTCCTTTCGCATTTTTCCGGTCATACTATGAAATTCATCTCAAGGAGTAGAAAGAACCAAAGCCTCAGTGTGCCTGGGCCGATTCTAGAGGTGCCTCAATTTGTGTCTTCTGGAAACCCCTTCTAAGAGCAGGTTGGAGAACAGGAACCATTTATTTGAAAGTTTAAAGCCAGCTTGCTTATGGAGTGATGAAGAAACAAAGATTTTCACCCTAAGGCTGGGATTTTCTTCCTAAGGAGATGCAGCCTCAAAGTTAGACATGTTTCCTAGAAAGCTTGTCTGCTCCAAGGAGAGAAGCAACTTAGAACTAAGGAGGAATTTCCTGACAGTGAGAACAATTAATCAGTGGAACAGAAATTGCCTCCAGAAGTTGCGGATGCTCTAACACAGGAGGTTTTTAAGAAGATGTTGGATAACTATTTGTCTGAAGTGGTGTAAGGTTTCCTGCTTGAGCAGGGGGTTGGACTAGAAGACCTCCAAAGTGTCTTCCAACTCTGTTATTCTATTCTATTTCCATTACTATCCCTCCAAAGTATAAGACCGTCCCAATGCACGATGGCATTGAATAAATCTCCCCCTAATTCAGGGGTGTCAAACTCAATTTCATTGAGGGATGCATCAGGGTTGGGTTCTACCTAGGTAGGCAGGCGTGGGCGTGGCCAGAGTGGGTGTAGCCAGCTTGACATCACTCAGAGGCGCCCGTGGTGGCCCAACCACACTTCCACCGAAAATGGGCTTCCAGGGCCACGCGCAACCCTCCAAAGCTCCATTTTCGCTGGCAGAGGCACTGCAGGCTGGTCCCTCACTCTTTCCAGGGCGGCCCTGTGGGCGAGATCTAAGCACCAGCCCCCAGGTCCTGAGTTTGACACCCCTGCTCTAATTCAAGAAAGGTTACGAAAAGCCCAAAATTGGTAGACAGAAAGTATGGGTTCTTCCGGTCGACACAATTGGTGCGGCTAAGAGGTTCTTTCCTCCTGTTTTTTTTTTTTTTAACCAGAAGTCAAGGGAACTTACTTGAACAGTTTTGGCTGCAGCAGATGCTGTAAGCGATCGCTCACGATGGCCTGATGCAGGAGCAGCTTCTCCCGGTTTTTCCCTGGGGAAGAAGAGCAGGGTTGGGATTTAGGAAAGTAGCATTCTATGCTCAATGGATCCATCTCAGGATAGAATTCTCAGTCTGAGGGGAAAAAAGCTAGCTTTGAATGTTGTGAAGTCCTTGTCAGGGAGAGGTAGCCCAGTTTGCAAGGGAATCAAGGAATAGCAGTAGCCCTTATATACTGCTTCATAGTGCATGTATGCGCAGAGCAGTTAGGAGAGGTGAACAATGGAGGACGAGGAGTTGACTCGGGAAGCAAAGCACATATGGACGCTGAATGGCCCCTCCCTGGCTGGGGAATAAGTAGAAGGAAAGGTGAGTGGTTGTCATAGGAGACAACAGTTCGTATTTCTGAATATTTTGTCATTGTGTTTCGTGCGTCAAAGACTGCTTGCCAGAACTTAATTTGCAGCCTTACAGTGGGAGCAAATGGCCGCAAGGAACTGATAAGGTCTGTTACTGCAGCTAACTTCTTGAAGGACTCTTGCTTGGATTTTTCAGTGTGTGAATGCCATTAATTCACAAGGGGTAAATAAAGAAGGTGTTTTCGTGACAAGGAGTCTGTCTCTTGCTTCTGCTAAGGCTGGGTCAGAACAGTGAGGACCCTTATCCCTTTCCCCAGTGAACGGTCCTTTTACCGTAGCCGCTTACATTTGGTAGTGATCAGCTCCTCGAAAGACTTGATGCCTTGCCTGGCCTTTTCTCGAGCGTCATCGTTGGCAGGAGGGCCCTGGGGAAAAAATCCAACAAACTTTTATTGCTCTTCCCACTTCAATCCCTGCCACAAAACAACCCCCTTCCCTGGGGGCTTCTGGAATGAAGGGGAGACTCTGTTCAGAGATTTCAGGAAAAGCAAATCCAGATTGCAGGAGAGAGAGAGAGAAAGTGACTTGCTTGGCACAGATCAGCTTAATCCTGTTAGGAGGGACATCGGATCTGGCTGAAATCTTTCTCCCTGCATTGACAACAGCTAAGGACTACACACTTGACACAAAACAACAACAAAGATGACTTTCATATGAAGGGAGAAGCAAACCAGGGAAATTAGAAATTGCTAAAGTCTATAACCATGTTATAGCTGTGGCATGCAGAGCCATTTCTGAGGGCACGCAAGGCATTGCCCTGTCACCTCTAGCACGCATGCGCATGCTGGCCAGCTGATTTTGGGCCCTGATTTTGGGCCATTTTTCACCCTCCGTTCCCGAACTTACGATTTTTGTGTGTTGGGCCATTTTTCACCCTCACCTGGCTCCTAGAAAGCACCTGGAGCTTAGGGAGGGTGAAAAGTGGACCTACTGGACCCACTGGAAGTCAGAAAACAGGCTGTTTCCAGCCTCTGGAGGGCCTCCTATGGGGCATGGGAGGCCGTTGTCGCCCTCCCCAGGCTCCAAGAAAGCCGTGCACGCATGTCTGGGGCAGCAGGGGGTGGATCATGTGTCCACGCACAGGAGGCATGGCACGGTGGGGGGGAGCCATTAAATTACAGGGGTGGGTACACATGTGTGTACGTTAGACCACATGCTTCTGGCACCCAAGGTGAAAAAGGTTTGCCATCACTGGTCTATAACATGCGCAGCTCCATTTGCGCGAGCGATGGGCACGCATGCCTGCTGCTTGTGCAAATGAAGCACACCTACTCACCCGCTGCTTGTGCAAGTGAGGATGTAAGGGCATGCACTCTCCCACCACTTCCGTGCCTCGGTTCCAAAAGCCTCAAGGTGTAGTAGTGGGCTGGGACCCGAGGTTAGGGGACCCCTGGCCTCCAAGACTTGGTTACTGGAAGGACTACCTGTCTCCCGTGGGATCTGCCTAGCCACTCTGATCTTGCAACGTGGCCATGATCTGTACAAGTAGCCCTCGGCCTACCACAGTTCAGTTAGTGACCGCTCAAAGCTACAACGGCACTGAAAAAAGTGACATATTTCACACTTACATCCGTCGCAGCATCCCCAGGGTCACGTGATCGAAAATTCAGACGCTTGGCAACGGATTATGGAATCCCTGCCACCTTCTGACAAGCAAAGTCAAAGGGGAAACCAGATTCACTACCGTGTGGCTAATTCAGCCACTGCAGGGATTCACTTAACAATGGTGGCATAAACAAAGGTCATAAAAAGGGGGGGAAATTCACTGAACAAATGCCTCGCTTAACAACAGAAACTTTGGGTTCCATTGTGGTCCTAAGGAATCCTTCACTTGTTACCTATTGGGACCCTGGAAAGGGCACTTGCTCTACAGTTGCACCTGCCCACTAGAATGACTTTTCTCTCCCAAGATCCCGACGGCCCTCACTGCTGTTCAGAAGAGCCGTGAAGCCCTGGGTCTCTTCCCAGGCCTTGGGTGAGTGGGAAGGACACCCATTCTCACACTCCCCATCTTTTCTTTTTAATGACCCAATTGTAATTTGATTGCTGTGGGCCACCGAGAGATTTTTCGGAGCCAGGCAGCATCTGAGTTGAATAAGTTACCATTGCGGTTATACTTACAAATCCGGATGTTTTGTCCTTAAAATATGGCTTCATAAAATGGCCCAAAAACATATTTGCTGGCAAGGATTTCCCATCGCTCGATTTCATGCCTTTTGTTCCAGCCAGCTCCCAGGTGAGTTTTTCCTGCAGGGCATTCAAAAACAGAAGGCTCCCATGAAGCCAGAATTGTGGGCAACTGCATCCCAGAATTGAGATAAAGGCATCTCACCACCCAATTATTCAGACATTTCAGCTGAGTGAACATCCTTACAAAATTCTCCTCGCTTCTAGCAGGGCTTGCAAGACAAATATAAGGATTCTGAAAACCACCTGGCAACAGACTACAGTTCTTGTTGCTTAGCAACCATTAAAACGTATGACAGATCCCAAAAATGGGACTTATGACCGGATTCAAAATTCTAATAGGGTTTGAAACTTTAATTTACCCTTTTTTAATTTATTATTGTTCTTCCTCTTCACTATTTTGTCATTAACACAGTATCTAGATGACAGGTTAATAATTTGCAAATAGAATTAGTTTAAAATTTTGGCGGCCTGTTTCACAAGGGATAGGAAATTAATATTGTTATAATATATTAATCAAGGTGGCTCAGTGGCTAATAAATCAAAAAAGGGTAAATTAAAGTTTCAAAACCTTCAGAATTTTGAATCCAGTCGTAAGTCCCATTTTAATGGTTGCTAAGCAGCAAGAACCAAAGTGGTCCCTATTTTTCTATTTGCATTTTTTAATGTGCTTTCAAACTGTTCGGCGGTTCGAATCCCTAGTGCTGCGTAACGGAGTGAGCTCCCGTAACTTGTCCCAGCTTCTGCCAACCTAGCAGTTTGAAAGCACATTAAAAAATGCAAGTAGAAAAATAGGGACCTTTGGTGGGAAGGTAACAGTGTTCCGTGTGCTGTTACCTTCCCACTGTGACAGTTACACTGTCCCACTGCGACAGTGTTGTGGGAATTTACTTCTGGTTATCAGCAAAAATTGCCCAATAGCATACAATGGGTTCACTTAGTAATCATTGCAAAAAAAGGATCATAAAATCAGACACAGTTACATGATGACCCACTTTATGAACAAAGTTGTGGGCTCGATTGTGGTCATCTGAATGGCTGAATGAAGCACATGGCAGGCAAAACTGAAAGGCCAGTTGCTGACTTGTTGAGCGACAAACATGTATAGATAGTTGCTCTGTCCCTAGAGCTAGTTACCAGTCAGTTATTAACCGGCCTTTTAAAGGCATTTATGCTTTCTCAAATTTACATTTTAATCCAAAAGGGGTCATGGGTCAACAAATCAAAGGAAAAAGGGAGGGAGGGGAATTTCACAACAGGAGAAATTATAATGTGTGTGTGTGAGAGAGAGGAGGGCTGGACTTGTGTGTTGGAGATCATACCACATCTCCTCTAAAGCTATTTGATACTCTGATCCCCATTAATCTGTGAAATGGGCATACTGTGACAATTCTTCTGGAAAAGGTGGGTCTTAAAGGAGATGAGCTTTTTCCACCCTGCTCCAAGCTACCCGCAGTTTAACTCACCTGTTGCTTTTTATTTTGGGCAAGGAGTTTGTTGATCTCCTCAATCTTCTCCTGAATCACTTCCTGATAAACCAGGTTCATTTGGAGGCAGGTTTCGGGGGTTTGAGGTAGGTTGACTTCCTCCTCATCTTCCTCACTATCATCTTTCTCCCCAACTGGGTCCACCTCCTGAGAGAGAAGAAGGGATTAAAGCTAGAAAATTGTTATTCCTGAAAACAAGAAACTCCTCTAAATAAAAACGTTAAGGTCAAGGCCTGCAGAATGAAAAAAAAAAGGTTATGTTACTACACGTTCATTTCTTTTTTCCACCTTTTCCTATTATTTTAATGCTAGGCATTATTTATCTTTAATCATTAGAATCCAGAGAGTTTATGGATTTTGTTATTTAGCTGTATTATAAGAGCCAGTTGCATAGTTTTAAAGTCCTTTTATGAATGGAAAGTATGTAAATTGGCTCTTTGCAAAATTGGCTGTACATTTAAACTCTTGAGTATTAATATTCATTAATAAAAATATAAAAGGACAAGGCAGGTTTCAAAAAGCAGCTAAATGAACAAGAAACTCTGCTTTCTCCCAATTTCAAGCCATTGCATTGCTTCCTTCTTTTTAGTCATTCCTGTATTTCTATAAAGATGAATGTTAGAAAGGAAAACATGTCCAGAAGTGCAACAATATTCAAAGGCCTCCCAACTTTCAAGGCAGAATTCCGATTTGTTACTTGCCATCTCAAGTTGAGTATCAGATTCATCCTCTTCCAGGTCATCTGAGGAGAGAAGAGATAAATGTAAGAGAAAGAAACATTTTAATTATTTATTATTCATATGCAGCCCACTTGGCAGTTCTTTGGGCAACTTGCAATGTAAAGATTTCAAAAGATAACTTGGAAACAAGGGACTACTTATAACTGTTGCTGAGATGGTGACCGGGAAGCCCATTTCACATATAGTTTACAAATGATCATTACGATAACAGTTCTCTAGTTTTGTCATAATTAACAGTCCCGTGAGTTTCTATTAATTTCCATCAGGACCCATCACATTTTTCTCTTGTGGTGTTTTACAATAACATTTAAGCACTGTGGACATCTTCTGGAAGCACAAGGTAAAATTTTAGCACAAGAATGCTGTTCATAGTACTGAAGGCCCTGCTTCTGGTTTCAGTTATTTCTCTCCTCCCCACCAAATTGGGATCCAGCCACTGGAGACTTCTGATGCAGAAGGATCTGAAAAGGCAAGATGGAGATCTTTTCCACCAGGCCACACCTTCCTCTTCAGAGCCAGATTCTAAGCTGGAGTCCACCGCTCCAATCCTATCTGATGGAATGACTGGGCCGAAACTCCTCTCCAGCTCTTCAATCTCCCGTCTGATTTTCTCTCGTTCTGCCTCGAGTTCCATTGCTGAGGCGCCTGTAAACAAGTCAGAAAAGTCAAATAATAGAAAAGGAATAGGAATTGGAATAGAAGAGGAGAACAGAACACTGAAAACAGAATAGAATTCAAACAGAACAGAACATAGAATTAGAACAGAATGCAGAATGGTATGGGGTGGGGAGGAACAGAACAGAATAGAACTTTGTCACTTTAAATGTACATTAATACATTGAATATATTGAAATGAAATTTTGAGAGTGTTCAGCTCTCAAAGGATAACCATGATGTATATACTCACATATCCACAATCTATGACACAGAGAAGCATCACAGTCTAGTATGAATGTATACATATATATGGTGCAGGGGAAAAGAATGGGGAGAAAGAATCCTGTGAATTTATAAGATGGACGGCATAAGGAACAAAGCTGTTACAGAATCTAGTAGTCCTACTTTGAAACCTCCTCCAAGAGGGGAGCAAAAGAAACAGTCCACCGTGGGTGTGTGGGGTCTCTAACAATGCTTGGAGTCCTAAGAACATAGCACTTATAAGCAGCATCCTGAATGACAGAAAGCAAACTTCCTATAATCTTCTCTACTGTCCTCACCACTCTCTGTAGGGACTTTCTATTTGAGGCGTTGCTGCCACTGAACCAGACAGGGATGCAGTTTGTTAAAAACTCTGTAAAAAGTAGCCAGGACAGAAGGCGAAAGATGTGCTCTCTTCATCCAATGCAAAAAAATACAGATGCTGCTTTGCAGCTTCCCTAAAGATAACATTTGAAGAGCCAAATTCAAATTATAAAAAAGGAGCCACACTTGTTTCTTTTATGCATTTCATTTATTATTATTATTTTCACTGTCCAAAGGATTCTGGGAGGCTCCTCAGAGCAGCCCGTGCTGTATTTTTACGACCGATTTTACACCCATTTGATTGCCATTCGCAGGTGCTTCTGGCACGAATAAGTGCCACATGCAAAATAAAGCACCCTCCCAACGTGTGGGTGGGAAAGGGACCCTCGAGAAGGGCCCGAGAGGAGCAGGGAGAGGGCTTCCCCTTTTAAGGCGCCCTCCCTGCAAAAGCCGCCCCCCTCCTGTCCCCAGGTCAGCTGCGTTCACACGACACATTCGCGCTGCGGGGATGGCTCCAGCCTATCCCAGCTGGCCCAATCATAAAACACAGCTAATCCAGCCCTGGCTTCCCGCGGGCCTAGCTGCCGGCCGCCGCTCCCCCGGGCCGAAAGAAGCTGCGGCTGCCCCAGCCTAACCGACGACACGGATCTCACCTGCTCAAAGCCGCTACGGTTGGAGGAACGCTTAGGAATCCTCAGCCGGAAGCAGGGGGAAAATACCGGGTAACGGACCAGGAAGTGACGTCACGCACGGGTTTAATGAAACCGGAATTACAAGCACCTCTTTCCCGTTTCAGGAAAGAGAAACCTCCATCTACTTCTACTCTTGGGCCCAACGATCGCCTAGGCTCCGCCCTCCTGTCTATTCGTCAGCCATTGCGCTGTTCGCTTTCTTTTCCGGGATTTGCCAATCTGTGGCCGCGGAGCATCATCCAATAGCAGCGCACGACGACAGGGAGAGACCACGTGATGTCTTGGGAACAGCCAATCAGAAGGAAAAGAAACGGAAATGGGGGGGTTGCTACGTGTGACGGTAGCCAATGAACGGAGAGGACGCAGCGCGTCCGGCGCGCTTTCACAAGGAACCGCTCGGTCCGCCCGATCTCCCGCGGCAGACGGGCGCGTTACCTTGCGTGCTTTGGAAGATACATAACTGTCACGTAGAGGCTCCCAGTTCAAGGGCAACCCAACTCAGCCTCATTAGACGATGCGGAGCGAGCCAGCCTACCCCGCAGGGTTGTTAGGGAGAAAATAGGAGCGCTGCTTCTGAATGGAAGCAAACTAAACAAGCCATGGCTTACTCAATCATGGCTTGTGGAGGGACTTAAGGGAACCAATGGGCAGAAAAATGACTTCTGGGTGTGAGCTCACCCAAGCCACCATTATCTAGACTTGAAATTCTAATATTTGCATTAATGGGATTGAGGAAAGCCAGGAGAGGGATCCCAAAATGCCACTAGGATTTCAGAGTATTAAATAAATTAAATTTAACACACTTCCTTGATGAACTTGGGGCCAATTTTAATACATGGCTGAATCCTTCAAGTCAAGTTGTTCCTGAGAGTTAAATCCAGTTTTTCCGAAGTCAAAATACTACACAACTTCTCCACAATGAACCTTAATTGGCGCTGCATGCATTAGTATTCTTTAAGAAAATTATTTCTTAAAGAATATCAATTAAAATAATGCATCCAGCTCCATTAAGAAATGTATTTCTTAAGGGATACTAATTAATATAATGCATCCAGCTTCTCTTAAAGGATACTAATTAAAATAATGCATCCAGCTCCAGTATCTTTTTAAGAAAATTATTTCTTGAAAGACTTAATCTCAAGATTAATGTTTTTGGCACTTCTCACTCAGCAGTTGGCAATGAAAGCCTTGGTTTGCTCAATTCTTTTTGTTCAGTTTCTTTTTGTGACTAGGTAAAACAATTCTGCTTCAGCCACTCAACACACTACCTTCAAAATGCTCCAATCATCGTAAAACAGCTTGTCAATTAGCACTTCTAAACCACTATGAACTAGAAAAGAGGTGCATTTTATACCAGCTGGATACTCGTGCTTCACTACAAAACTATTTGATAGGACTTGATAAATTGACACTTAAAGCTTGCAAATTAATGTGTTGTGTGTGTGTATGTATGTATATGTATGTATATATGTATATAAATAACTCTTTAGCATCAGAGGGTGTTACTATAAGGCAACTGGCAGTTGGAAAAGAGTTCTTTTCAGGTGGGGAGAGGGAATAGAATGTCTTAAACTCCCACTGGCCACTGCCATATAAGGAAACTGGCAGTTGGAAGAGACTTCCATTCAGGTGGAGTAGAAATGTCTAACTCCTTAGCATTAACACGTGTTAATATAATGACGTATAAGAAATATTGATGATCTGATGGTCATTTCGAAAGCCCTTTCTTAGCAAGCACCTAGAAATTCAGCCATGCTGAATTTCAAATTTGTAAGCTTTACAGTTTGCAGATTTTGTGATGAGTGAGTGGTATTTGGCTTTTATATATACACATTTATGTGGCTGCCCATCTTACAAAAATGGGACTCTGAGCAGTATATAACAAAGCCAAATATATGAAAGCAGTCATCATAAGAAACAAAAATATAAAAATATATTTATGTGCATTCCCAACACACAGGCAGCAAATGGAAACTTCAGCCCCAAAAAGAGTTCACATTGGTATCTAATTTTTCCAAAATCAATCCTTAAAGAGGAGGCATTTGCCTACGGACCTGCTCTTCATGATTGGGGGGTGTGGGGGAGACCAAAACATAAAATATAAGCCAAACCAAGCTCCATATTTGCAGTTTCATTTTAATTTAAAAAATAATACTATTACAAAACCTGGAGAAACTAAAAAGCTTCACAACTCTATATTCAGAAGGTTAAATCTTGGATACCTTGCTATGCAAAAGCAATGAAAGGTTTTATTGCACCTGTACAACAGCTGGTTTTCAAAAAATGTGATTTATATCAAGAAGACAATTTTAATAATATCTCTTGTGTGTGCTCGAGGATATCTCTGGCACCCATGTTAAATAAGAAATATATTCCTGACTAGACTTTTAAAGCAATCTCTAAATGAGCAGCCAAACAGTGAAGTGTGAAAATATTTAGTTATTTTTGCACATCATGAAATATTTTCCATTGATCAATCCAGATGTAGTAACTAAGAGCTGCAACCTTCTTAACAGTCTCAGAAGTTAAAGATCACAGCCACTGAAAAAAAAATCCAGCTTCCAATCTTAGTTTTCTCCAAGAATGAGAGGTAATAGATACTCAGGGGGTTCCTTGTGATGGTATCTCAGATATTTTGTCTAGAGACCTCAGGAGGTCAGCCACAAGCTGCAGTTCTTCTGCACCAGAAACCAGCTGCCTAGAAGGAACACAAGATTAACAGATTAACAGAGTTGGAAGGTACCTTGTAGGTCATCTAGTGCAGCCCCCATCTAAGCAGGAGACCCTACACCATTTCTGACAGCAGTCCAGTCTCTTCTTGAAAGCCTCCAGGGATGAAGCTCCCACAACTTCCGAAGGCAACTTCTGTTCCATGGGTGGATTCTTCTCACTGTCAGAAAATTTCTCCTTATTTCCAGGTTGAACCTCTGCTTGTTCAGTTTCCACCCATCATTCCTTGTCTAGCCTTCAGGTGCTTTGAAAAATACGTTGTCCCCTTCCTCTCTGAAGCAACACTCCTATTTTCTCCCTAACAACCCTGCGAGGTAGGCCGGTGGACCCCACATCAATGAGGCCGAGGGGGGGGGAGAGTTTGGCCTTGAACGCAGAGCCTCCACACGACAGTAATAAGCACAATGATGACAATTATGTTGCTGCCTGCAGGGATTCAGGCAGGCCCAACTTGTTCAAGTCTATATTCTCTTACACTCTGCTCTCTCTCTCTCTGGTGGTCCACTATATTCTGCTATTTTGGAGCTGAAAACCCAAATAAAACTTTAAATAGGCTAATTTAATGTAAAACTCCCATGTTTCCCCCCTCCCCCCCAAAAAACCTAAGGAAACAAGAAACTCCATCTCTATGCTTTAAGGTCACAACTGACTTCTTGGCATCACAGGCCCAGCCTCCATGGCTCAAGCATCCCCCACTCCATATGTGGGCCACTACAACAGAGGTGTCAAACCCATGGGCTGGATGCGCAAAAAATGACGCAAGCAAGCTTGACCCCCGTGCAGTACAAGGTTTTCTGCTCTGACCTTGTTTTCCAGCCATTTTGGATTCTTCCAAGATTAAAAATTTGGGAATTCAAGTGTTCTGTTTCAGAATAAAGCAGAGATGGGTTGTTGCCGGTTTGGCCTGGATTGGGCGAACCGGTAGTAGTAGCGGCGGCGGGAGGCACCGCCCACCTGCCTGGATGCTTCTGCACATGTGCCAAAGTGTCGCGTGAGTGCGCCCAAACCGGTAGTAAAAAAGTTCCACCTCTGGAATAAAGGCTACCAGTCTGTACATCCTTCTATAAATAAATGCACTGATTGATAGTTTAGCAGCTGGGCAGCTGAAGCCAAAATCAATTAAGCTGGAAAACAATGGTTTGTAAAGCCCACATTTGTAGGTTTCAGAAATCCGTCACAGCAGTGGTGTCTAAAATGTCTGTCCACCTTATGCAGAGTTTATTTGGCTTTTATACAGTTTTAACAAGCAAAGCAAAAGCAGGGATAGCAACAGCATCTTATTGGTTCATTTTACTTGTCAATATCTAAATCCATCCCGGCCAGAGTAGATGCTTCACATACAACTATGTTGCCAAAAGTATTCGCTCTCCCATCCAAATAATCAGAATCAGGTGTTCCAATTCCTTCCATGGCCACAGGTGTATAAAATCAAGGACCTAGGCATGCAGACTGTTTTGACAAACATTTGTGAAGGAATGGGTCGCTCTCAGGAGCTCAGTGAATCCCAGCATGGAACCGTGATAGGATGCCACCTGTGCAACAAATCCAGTGGTGACATTTCCTTGCTCCTAAATATTCCACAGTCAACTGTCAG